CTATGAGAATGTACATCCTAGCATGCATAAGCCATTCCGAATGGAGATTTTAAAAATACAGAAGGTGACAGGAAGTAAAATTGGTATTTGCTTTTATTGACATAAAGTTCATTTTCTGACAAAGATTCATGGTGGTTTAGAACATTATGCATGCTTGGTATTGGATAATCTTCAGCCCAGAGGAAACAGGAGGAGAATGTCAAGTACTGGGTTCTCCTCTTACATTTATCTGTGAATTGGGGATAATGGTCCCAACATGGGACTCCTCTGGGTGTGTAATAATGAGTCTGATTTATATGCAATGGCTACATTTAAGATGTTACCTAGTGCTTTCATTGAAGGTGTTATTTAGTGCTTTTTCTTTGCTTGGCTTTCTTGCAACCTTCTTTTTGTTAAAACGATTCCTCCACTCATGCTCCCTGAGCTGTGGTGCTGAAGCCAACAGAGGTTGTGGTTCTGTGGTGGAACATGCCACGGAATTTCTACCATGCAGCATGCCAGGGTCTCTAAAAATGCGTTACGCGATTGCAGAAAGTGATGAGAAAAAGTGGTGCTCTTCATCTTTCAGAACAGCAAGACACATTTATGGGAGGGGAAGAAACAAAATTTCTAAGGAAGAGAGAGCAGGAACTAGCTTGGAAAATGGCCACTGGAGCCTGGAAGTTTTGCTTCCTGAAATGGGGAGCTTTTCATAGAATCATAGAATAGTTTCAGCTGGAAGAGACCTTGAAGATCACCTTTTTTTTTGGCTCCACAGTGACCTTGACTTTGGGTTCAGTGGTTCGTACCTGAGACCCATTGAGGCATACATAGTTCAACCTAGGAGGCGTTTGGGACATTAGAGAACAGGCTGGTTTTCTGTCCAGGAGGTGTGGACACTTTTCCCTTACATCATGTTTTAAGAGGTGGCTTTGTGAAAGTGTGTCTGTCTCATCTTTTCAAGTCTGCGCTTCAGGAGCTGATGTATGATCTTCCTACAGCAAGCCCTGGGAATACTCAAGAGAGCTCTCTGATCCTATTGCATTGGCTTTTGTCATGTCCAAAGCATGGATTTTGTCCTTCCACTCCCTCTTTACCTTTGTTGGATGAATTAAAGTCTAAGAACTGCATTTTTTTTAAGACCACTTCCCATTAATTCTGCATTACCTTGCTTTTCTGAGTTTAAATCTTAAAGCCATACTTAAAGTACCAAAGAAGGTTTAGCCACACAATTGCTATTTGACATGGGAAATTGAATGGCTAAGCTCCTGCATATATGCAGTAGCCTATATGCTGCTGGGTAGATTGTATAATTGTTCTTCATACATTAAGCAACCAATTGCCGATTCGTGTACGTATGTAGGTTCATCCTTTACCAATTTCCTGTGACTGATAGTTTCCAAGAGATTAAAAGAATAGCCAGTTCCTGGTTTTTTTCTCTTCTCTTTATTTTTGTCCTTTAGCAAGAATATTTGTGTGTGTGTGTGTATTTAATAGCATTCATTCCCTAGAGAATAATCTCAGTCCTTGTTTTAGCTGGCCTCCTTCTGAGAGTGTGTTAAATCTGTAGCCAAGATCACAGGCAGCTCTGGGCAAATCATTGGGCTGTTATTAACCTGCCTCCATGGCAACTGCTGCTCACCAGCCCGAGGACAAAAAATGTTTTTATTCTGCAGAGTTGCACAAAAGGTTCTAGTGATGCCTTGCACAAAATGGCCATTGAAACGGGAGATGCAGCGATGTGTATGCTGGACAGTTTCGTATTTAAATGGTTTTACACTGTTGTTCTGGGAGAGGATATACAGCTGAAAAGTTCAGGGCATTGGCTGTACAGAAAGCAAAAACTAGCAGAAGACATGAAGTTAAACTTATTCTAATACTACTTATATTTGTTAGCTCGAGTTCACAGGCCTTCAGCCTGCAGTTGTCATCAGTGCATTAGCAAGTTGTTTTGGGAACATGAACTAGGCAAAAATCGTAGATTTTCATTTGTACTGCATGAAGCTGACTTGGAGTTGCAGAGGCAGATCATAAAGCTGGTTTCCAGGAAGGATTTAATTTCTTTTACTTTTATTTATTTTTTTCAGAAATCCTCTAATTTGCTTCAATGTTTGTTTGAGAAGCTTGGGAGGCCTATCCGAGTGCTTCCCATTTTAGCTGGTTTTGAAAGCTGCTTTTGGCAGTACGGTTTAAGGCTTCTTTTAAAACAAAACTATAAAACCAGCTATATTGCTTGGGCTAGGCATGGATTTTAAGCTGCTCATAAAGAGTGTTCACAGTGGGATCGGTCGGGGTTCTGGCAGCTCCTGCACTGTGAGGTTGTGTCCTGCAGTTAGTTACCCTCTGGCAGGAGGCTGGGCAGCTCTGCTGTCAATTTGGGTGCAGAATGGCTATGGATGGCTGGATGCTGTCTCTTGGAAGCGTGCTGGTTTGGGATGCTTCTTGTGCTCTCAAGCTGGCAGCTTGCTATTATTTCCCTGTGAACTGAAGGCCCTCTGCCTCCTGCTTCAGCCTTGGTGTGAGGGCAAGTAGTTCCTGCAGTTACACATTTGGGCACTTTTCTCTGTCTCGCTCAAAATGGTGTGGTTGCCTTAGACACCTCTTAGGTTGTCCCTTGGTCATGATAAAATGAAAGCCACCCAAACATTGTGATGTCTTTTTACTTGGGCTGTAGAGGAAGACATAAAGAGTGTGGCAACGAAGATGCTATGTGCCACTGCCAGTCTCTGGGAGGTGGGAGGAGGGTTTGACGCTCTCAGCATGTGTTCGAGAGCCTGTGGATTAATGGCAGAAATTGTCATGTGTTTGGGCAAGGGATCCAACAAACTATTCATGGTGAATGTTCTGCGAATGGCCTGTAAAGCTGTCTGTGCGGTGTGGGAACTGGGAGGAGAGGTACCTAGGTCAGTCTGGGGTCTACACCGGTTTTTAATTTTGTCAAGCAGGCTGCTCCCATTTTCTGAAACCAGCGGCTTGTCTTTTGGACGTTGTCAAGTCCCTTGGCTTTGTGTCCAGCTGTTTTTATTTCCTGTCTTTGATGGGATCAGCACAGTTAGGAGATCAACCTCCTCCACACCAAGCAATGATTTAGTGTTTAGTCACCTTCTGAGGAATGCAGCCCAAAAGGCTGTTTGCTTTGTGCTGGGCTGTGGCCACATGTGTGTTGAGCATTGCTGGTTACTCTTGGCTAATCCTTCACTGTTAATCCACTGCCAGGTGCAAGCAGTTCTTGGATTAACTCTTGGAGGTTTGGGCCTGACCCGGGAGCAGATGCTGCGGAGGCGAGCGAGCCTCATGTGTACAACTGCCATTGTGTCTGGCATCCGGCTCGTGAGCTGCGTTCAGGCAGATTCCCCAAAGCAGAGGATTGCTCTGCGAGGTTTGGTGTCTGAACTCAACTCTGGACCTCTGTGATAAGATGAAAACCAGAGATGATTTCCTCTGATAGTGCACATTTGGGTTTCGTTTGCCCTACCGCTGCTAACCTGCAGTGTTTGTTCATTTGGCAGTATTTTTGTCGTGAAGATGGTTTCTGCTGAGTGGACCCCAGCTGTGGGCTTGACTATAAAAGCTTCCCAGGCTTGTTTCTCTACAATTAAATCTTGCCTGTAGTTAGAGAAGTGGTGTTTCATAAGTCATTTTGGTGGTGATAGCTGCTTAAGCCTAACTAGGGTGCTTCCTAGTGACTCTTTAAAAGAAGAGTTTCCCACTTATGAAATGGGAAAGCTTTCAATTATCGGATGCATATTATTCCCCAGTGTTTTGCGGAAATGCCTGCTCTGCAACTCATTCAATTAGTGGGAAAGGGAGAGGGATAAAAATAAACTTGCCTCGCGTGGCGGATGGAGACTTGCTGATCCTGGTGAGGAATTTTGGAGGCGGGAGGCCACGATGTGATGTGCGCGTTTGCCAGCTGTCTCCCTGCCTTCAAATGCTTTGTCCATTTAGCACCTTCCCCGAGAAGCAGCGGGCTGCTCCTGCGACGTGCAATGCTGGTCACTCCATTAAGCGTCGTCTTAATGGCTTGTGTTTTGCGCAGTTGTATGAAACGCACATTAATGGAGACAGCTTAATGCCATCACCCTGAAGTAATGAATTGGTATGGATTGCCATTACCATTATAGCGCAGTTAAAAGCTGTGTTTGTTTCCGATTTACATTTCCCAGCTCTGCAAGCAGATGGGTTTTCAGGCCACGTGGTCAGGAGGAACCTGGCGATTCAGCTGCAACCTCCTTATTACAGTGTTTGTGGAACAGCAGTTCTGGGGGGTTGTTCTGTTAACTCAGACTGCTTAAACGGCACATTTCATTAAAACTATGATTATGCTACTGCAGGCTGTATTCAGGGATCACTGTAAATCCAGTGTATCCTATAAAGCTGAAATTGTCTGTGTAATGCAGCTTCATCTCACTGCTCTTGATAAAAATTGCTCCTCTTCAGCCACCATTCAATTTTTCTGTTGTTAAAATATCTGTATCCCTATAACCTCATGTGGATTTATACAAAAAGATACTCGGGAGACATGAGAGAGTGTAGGGTAGTTAAGTTTGCAGATTTTATGTGTTCCTCTTCCAGTGAAAGTGCAAAGAATCTCTTAATTTTCCAAATAGCTTTATTGTCTTGAGTATTTGCTTCTCTGGCTCCCTGAATGGTGCTCCTGCTGTTAGTAATGCCGAAACATGGTGAGCCCTGTATGAGCAGCAGAATCACAATGGATCACTTTAGACAAGTGATTTTTTTTCTTTTTCCATTTCATAGGCTATCTCATCGATCTCCTCTTGATCCTGTGAAGAGAGGAGCACTCAGCCCGCTTTCTGGGCTTTGAGTCCGTACCAACAGATCTGTAGGTCACTGCTTTAGAGGGTGATGCTGTCTTCAACCACCTATAGATTTTTGCTTAGCATGTCAATACCTGGGCCTTTTAGTCCCTGTGGCTTTTACCAAGTGGAGGACAGATATTCTTTTCCTCATAATTTGCTTTTTGCTCATAATGTTTCTTTTGCTTTCTCTCTTCTGCTTAGGTTGCTTTGAATGTTGCATTAAGTGCCTAGGAGGAGTGCCATATGCTTCGCTCGTGGCAACCATTCTCTGCTTCTCGGGGGTAGCGTTGTTTTGTGGCTGTGGCCATGTGGCGCTCACGGGAACTGTGTCTATCCTCGAGCAGCACTTCTCCACGACTGCCAGTGACCATGCTTTGCTGAGTGAAGTGTAAGTATGCCGCCCATTTCCATTACTCCTCATAACGCCCTCCTGCTAAATGAGTAGAGATGGATTCAAACCTCAGTCTTCATCCCTGAGTATTGTGTCGCGTGTTTGTCTGGCAGCACTCAGTAGTTCTTTGGTGTTCACACACAAAGAACCAGAGCGTGTACCCCGCTTAACCCATTTCTCTTGGGAGCAGTGTTGTTTAATATTTTCATCAGTGCCTTAGACACTTGGGTTGAGTGCACCCTCAGTGGGTTTGCAGATGACACCAAGCTGAGTGGTGCGGTTAGTTCACTTGAGGGAAGGGATGCCATCTAGAGGGACCTGGACAGCCTTGAGGAGTAGGACCTTGTGAACCTTATGAATGCGAGGTCCTAGACTTCAGTCGGCACAACCCCCTGGTATCAATACAGGCTAGGGGATGGAGAACTGAGAGCAGCCCTGCGGAGAAGGGCTTGGGGATACTGGTGCATGAAAAGCTAGACATGAGCCGGCAATGTGCATTCGCAGCCCAGAAAGCCAACTGTATCCTGGGCTGCATCAAAAGAAGCGTGGCCAGCAGGTTGAGAGAGGTTGATTCTGCCCCTCTACTCTGTTCTCTGAGATCTCACCTGCAGTGCTGTGTCCAGCTTTGGAGCGCTAAACATAAGAAGAACATGGACTTGTAGGAGTGGGTCCAGAGGATAGCCACAAAAATGATCAAAGGGCTGGAGCACGTCTCCTGCAAACACAGGCTGAAAGATTTGGGGTTGTTCAGCCTGGAGAAGGCTCCAGTACTTGAAGGGGGCTTATAAGGAAGATGGAAAAACGCTTTTTACTGGGGCCTGTAGTGACAGAACAAGGGGTAATAATTTTAATCTGAAAGAGGTAGATTTAGTGTTTGTTGGTAACATAAAAGTTTGAAGAGATGACAGAAATAACAGGCATGTGTTGCTTTGTCCATCCCCCCTCAGAAGAAGGTGGACACTGTACAAATGAAAAAAAAGAGGGAGAAAAGACTAGAAAAAGCTTTGATGTTTCTCCCTGCAACCATAACTTTCGGAAGTAACCACAGGGGAAACATTTTGGGGACTTTTGCATTCCCCAGCCCTGTAGGCCTGTACCAGTGTCTGCCCTCGGCGCCCAGCCCCACCAGTGTAAACCCTTCGTTCCCCTTGACACAGAAGTGCAGCTGGGACCTGGAGACATCTCCATGCCTGGGCAGAGGCTCAGCATGAGGGAATGCAGCCGAAATCTTCTGGAAGCCACCCTGGGGTCTCTGGGAAGGCTCCACGTTCAGGCCATGCGTGCTCATGAAGAGGGGCCCTGTGTGGCACACATTGGGGTGTGCTGACAACGAACGAGTGTTTTGTTCACCTACCCCTAAGACCCAGCTTTTAGGATGTTGTGTGAAGGCTTTGATATTGGGGGGCCCCACAGTTAGCCACAGGATTCAGCGAGAAGCTGTAAGCGGCTGTTCTGCAGCAACCGAAGTAATGAAACCCCCTGTTCTTCAAGTAGGCAGCAAGTTTTGCATTTTGGAGAATTCTTGGCAATGTTTCTTGTCAAGTCAGCATCAGCAGCTGGGGAAATGCATAATTCCTACCAAAGCAGCTGAGGTCTTGGGTTCTGTGGAGGGCTGACAAGGCAGGCAAGGGGGAAGAGGTGCTAGAAAGAGGCAAATAATTTAAGGCCATAGAGGTGTAAAATATATGAAAAATAGGGAGGCACCCTTTTGAATAGTTTTTTTAACCAGATTTCATATTACTGAATTCTGGTAACATTCATTGAGTCTCTCCTAGAGTATTAGTGATGGTGAAATGAATTCTTTTATATTCTCAAATCCTGATTCTTTTTTTTTTCATACTTTACAGCACAGGTGCAACTGATTTATCCTGTTATTTTTAATCAGTTTGAAAAACAAACATAACACTTCCCACATATAATTTTACGTGAGCAATATCCTATTTTGATACAAGGAATGTGCTATCTGTCTGGGTAACATTTAATTATATAAATGGAAGTCATCAATTTTCTTTAAATTAAGCTAAAACATGCAGATGCTCCTTGGAAATGTATGCTGGCAGCTACTTAGTGGAGAGTGGTAGGAACTGAAAAAAAAAATACCTCTGAGAAAAAATATATTTGCCCTTATGAAAGTGGGAGCGTGGATATATAAAATTAACCTCTGTCTTCTGTGAATTGCTTCATCCAAAATAACCATCCCAACAATCGAATTACGTTTAAGAAGGCTTAAGTTCTGGAGAGGTTCTGCTAATAACGAAGTATGACTTTTGGAGGCCAGAAGAAGTATTGTATGGACGATCTGACACTCTCACCCTCTGAAACCATCAGCTTCATATACTGCATCTGACTGATAATGTTTAGAAATTATTCTTTTCATTTTACCTATTCTAGCCAGAGTAAAAATACTGTAGGAGTGTCATTGCAGATAATAGATTTTTAAAGAATCAAGAACTTTCTCAAATAGTATCTGTGTGGTTCCAGAGCACCTCCAACTAGTGAGTGTAAGAACTGCAGCACAGACAGGGGATGCTCAACTAGATGCAAGACTAATGCTCATGAATATTGCTTATCTGTAGAAGCAGGGTAGTCCTACCAGCGCTCTCCTGCAGCTCACTTGCTTAAAATGCAAGGAGCCTTGAACTGTCTTTCTAGAAGAGGAGTTACTTCATAGCTCTTTTGATTTGGGAGGACTGTTTTTCTAGGACTGAAATCTAATTAGGTCTTTTTCTTTTCTTTTCTTTTCCCTTTTAGAATACAGCTAATGCAGTATGTAATTTATGGCATTGCATCATTTTTCTTCTTATATGGAATAATCCTTTTGGCAGAAGGCTTTTATACAACAAGTGCTGTGAAGGAGCTGCATGGAGAGTTCAAAACGACAGCCTGTGGCCGCTGCATCAGTGGAATGGTGAGTAGCCTCAGAAATGGGAACAGTAGTCTTAGCTTGTTGAACCTTTTTGGGCTTGGCTTGACTCCTGTGTTTTTGAGCAACAGTATATTGCTGCCTTCTTTGTTTAACTCCTTATGAGTGGTCAGAGTTAATGCCTGTTGCTGGCCCTTCTTGGAACTTGGAGGATGCTTGGCCAAATCCAAGTTCTGCAGATGGACTGTCCATGTGTTGCCGTGGCCTTCCCTATCATAAATGTCTAAACTAAGATGATGGAGACTGCTGATTTTAAAACTTGGTGCAAGACAAAATGAAATCTGTGCTTTTAAACGTGGAGCCCACCAGTAATGCTTAAAGGCAGACTGGAAAACGGCTGTGATTTGCAGAGCAGTTTAAATAACATGCTATAATGCCTCTGACTTCCATAGTCAGTTCTGCTTCAGGAAGTCCGGATCCTTCAGACACAGTAATGAATCAAGCTTCCCAACATCTTTGCACTTGAATCGAGTATTGCTGTCTTGCTTTTGCAGATGGCAGAAGGCATACAGATAGAATAGTGAGTCTTATTCACAAAGCTGAACCACTTAAAGCCTTAAAGCTACCAGCCCTCTTCCCTTCAGTGTACTTCTGTATTAGAACAAGATTTTAAACAAAGTTTAACTAAAAATAAAACTTCAGATTCTCACCCACATTGCCCCCTAGGGCGCACTCTGCGAGAAAAGAAACATAACTCTGTTTCTGAGACAGGATTTCAAAGCTATTTCTGCAAATCTGAATTCAAAGCTCGTAGTTATGAAGGAAGCTAAGTAGTATGACAGATCGCCCACGGGAAAGTGTGGGTGAAAAGAGAAGAGGCTTTTGATGTGATTGTTGCATTTTAATATACAATCTATATCCTGCACTTAAAAAATATGTACTTTCAGCTGGTTAAATACAAAAGAGATGCATGTTTATTTTCAAGAGGGTTAACAATTTTCCACTATGCTGTTGGATACTTATTGAATTTTTCAAGAGCTAATAAATATAACACATCCAATCATTTCCCAGTTAAGCAGCTATTTGCTGGCTTTTTCTAGCAATTAAGGTCTTTGCTGAGGAGTGAAATTAGATGTAAAGCAGTGTTTTCAAAAGATCCAAAATATGGTAGAAACATACATGTATATGCATCTCATTAGTGCAGACAACTGCTTGTGCCGTTGAGTAGTTGCAGGCACATGATTGTCAGCTGCTTATACAAACACCAGCGTGACACATGAAAACATGACAGAAAAATCTGTTTTCATGCTTACCCATATTTATTTGTCCACACAATGAAGGAGGGAGTTTAGCAGCTGAGTAATGGCTTGGAGCTCTGGTAAGACGCCATCGGTGCTTAGTGATGACAGCCATGGTGTAAAAATGCCTGTATGCTGCTGTGTAGTGGTAGAGCTGCTTAAAACAAGATTTCTGAGGAGATGTTAATATCTTAACAGACTAGTGGCTGCAGCTGGGTACACACAACAATCTTTTGGACATACGGTGATGGGGTTTTTTTGCCTCTTTGATCAAGAGGTCCTGTACTTCATTCTCTGTTACGTTACCAAGAAAGGTCTTGAAAGGCAGTCCCTCCCATCTTGCATAAGGTTGTCACAGAAGACCGATTTCCAACTTTCTTAAATGATTTGTGTTCGCTGTGGTAATACAGAATAGTGATTCCCCACAGTTACTGCGTTAAGTGTGAGAGTGAGTGTGGGTTTTTTCCTGGCTATTTTAGGTGTTAAAGGCATTTGTGTACTTCCTCTCGTGCACATTTCCACATACCCGTATGCAAACCCACATTTTATGCATAGTGTGTCTATAGAAATCCTTTAAACTGGTCTCCTTGGTCCTTACCAAAAGCGAAAGAGATAATTCTCAAGTCTCGCATAAAACACGCCTGCCTGGTGCACGACACTATCTAAGGCAAAATAGGTGGTTTGGTTCAGTTGTGTGTAAATGAAAGGCTAGTTGTGTTTCTCATGGGCCTTAGCTCTGCAAGCAGTTTCATCTCCCCACACACACACAACAAACCACCTTGGTTGACCATAAAACCCAAGTGGTTTCTCAACTGGTGCTTTAACATTTGCGGAGTTGTTGAGGGCATCTGGACAAAAACCTGTTAGGATGCAAACCTCCACCACTGCAGCGTTAGTTCAGTCCCGTCAGTTCTGGGTCAGGTTGACCTGACCTTCTTCGTCAGAGCCTTTTTTGTCCTTTATGTTCTCCTCTGACACGCGGGTTTCAAGTACAATAGCACAGGTCCAGGGCTTTACTGGAAGTGAAGCCTTCGTAGTCCCACCTATGGTTAAATAACAGCGGAAAGGGAGCACACAAGATGTAACAGCATCCCTCGCGCTTTCCACATAGTATCCAGATCCAAGTCTCGCCAGGGGGAGGGAGATGGGAGCTGATGTCAGAGCTACCGTTTTGACATAAAACTTGGAAGACAAGAGGAAAGGGAACAGGTTAGGTGGCAGGGCAAAGCTAGAGATTTTGAAAGCAGTGAGTGCCACACCTTACAATCTTACTAAAGAAGATGCATATGCAATTTTTTTTTTTTTTTAAAAAAGAGCAAGCCAAACCAGCAAATTTTGATGGAAAATCCATTATTCTCTCAGGTAAAGTAGCTAATTTTCTTCTTGGTAATGTGTATTAGACCAATTGAATCTTTCTGGTCAGCTGCAACGGTTGTGGTATGTTTTCAAAAATAGGTATTCTCAAATGTTGCATTCAGAATTGATTTCTGTAAGTGGGGGAGCATGGGAGAGCTCTGTGAACATCGATTCACTCAGTTTAATTTGCAAGTTGTATAGAAATGCTAGTATGTTACAGTTAATTAAAAAAACTCCTTAAATTGATTTTTTGCTGGAATTTTATTGGGTTTAGCCTACAACCAGCATCCCTGTGTAGCTGAAAATTTTGAGAAATGAATGGACTGCTCTTTCGGGAGGGCAAGCTGTTTACTCAGGCAGGCTGATGAAAAAGGAAAAAAGTTGCTTTTTCAGTAGCATTTAAACTATCAAAGTCTTCGAATACTGATTGTATTTATGCTTGGAAATCAAATGTTTCATTACTTGGTTTCTGGAATTGTACTTGAAGATTATTTTGAAGCATTTCTAAGGAAAATTCAAGTACTGTTTTCAAAGAATAATCGTGAAGTGCTTGTGTTTTCTCTGCCCAGTTTGTGTTCCTCACCTATGTGCTTGGAGTGGCCTGGCTTGGGGTCTTCGGCTTCTCTGCTGTGCCTGTCTTTATGTTCTATAACATATGGTCAACTTGCGAAGTCATCAAATCTCTTCAGACAAATGTGACAGTTCCAGGGGACCAGATCTGCGTGGATATCAGGCAATATGGTACTTATTTTAATCTTGCTTAAATGCTTTATCCTTTCTCCTTGGTCTGTCTTCAGTAGTTTTTGTCCCAGCCTTATCAGAAGAACCAAATGCAAGAGCATCTTCTATCTCTGAATGTGCTGTTACTTTTCTAATTAATTCAGATTACACTGATCCCATCCCAGATGCAATCAGTTTAACTGAACTAGCAAGTCATTTATCTCAAATGATTTTGTAGCGATTTCCAATGCTATAGTGTTAGGTTTAAAAATAGATCAGCCTCAAAATAAACTGCTTAGAAACAGCAGTGAGAAGTAGATAACCACATGCTGGGTTTGGAGCCTGTATGCATATATTATTTCCTTTGAAAAAGCTGTTTAGATAGGAGGTTAACACCTGAGCTTTGCTCTAACGATTACTTTCAGTTAAAAGACCTCAAACCTGCCATCAAGAGTCTGCCTTAACTGTTAACGGATTAATGCTGCTTTCTGATGCCACAGGGAAATCAGAGGGGGGTGCAGGTGGCAGAGGAGTGCGGCCAAGAGTTTGGGTCAGGCTTTTCAAGTAGTTCACTCCCTAAGGGGAATTTTTTCCTGAAGTTAGTCTTTTCAGCTTCCCCTGTGCATAGGAGCTTTTGTCACTGTTGTTTTTGGCTTCGTTTTAGCTAACATTTTCTAGGAATGTTTCTTTCTTTGGATGGAGTCATTCAAAACAGAGAAAACGGATTCAGAGCTGAACAAATAAAAAAGCTTGGGTTTGCTTTCCTATCCAGGCTGTAAGTCCAGTAAGAGAAGATAAGCTACACTCATTTTAAAAGCAAGAAGTCCCAAATCAATTAAACATTCACATCTCATTTTAGCAACTGGCAGCAAGAGGCTGGGAAGACATTCTCTTCCGCAGCAAAGCCTAGGAGTGCAGGGAGAAGATGTGCTCCACCACCTTCACGCTCGTCCCAGTTGTTCCACAGCCGTTACGAGCGCTGCGTGGGGCTGTCCTTGTTCCTCTAAGCAGTAAAACCATTTGGGTTTCCCCAAGAGATGGGCAGGAGCAGCTCTGTAACGGGCAGCTTGTGTCACTGAGCTGTCCTCGTGTTTCTGGTGGGAAGGAGTAGCTAAAAGGCTTTGAGCATCTATGGCAGTTGCAGAGGAGAAGCTGGCTTTGAAGTAAATCCTATAAAATCTTTTTGAAAGCGATACCTTCCTGAGATAATTTCAGCAGCCTGCCCCTTACAGAGTTGCTAATTCTAGCCAGCTGAGTTGGAAATGCAAGTTGCATAGGGGAGACAAACTGGTTTCCTCCTGTTTCAAGTGGCTTTTGCTTAAGCTTCACATCTGTTACAGGCCTAAAAGTTTAACAATAAGCTAACCTCCTAGATCTTGTCAACTTACTGTATTTTTCATTCATGTAAGAAAAGTAATTGGGAGTGCATGAGGTATGGCAAACCAGATTTTCTTGTAGCAGCAATTGCTTGATACTTTCTTACCTAACGGACTTAAAATGGAGAGGAATCCTTCTGTAATTCTTCCCTCTAGTTTGAAATTCACAGTCTTCTACAGCAGTTACTTTACACTTCAAGTAGAACTCAATGTAATCAGTAAGGGCTGTCCTGAAAGAAACAGAATACCAAGCAGGATCGCTACTCTGGACTGCAGAGGGCCAACTTTGGCCTTTTCAAGCAATTGCTAGGGGAAACCCCATGAGACAAGGAACTGGAAGGTAAAGGGGCCCATGAGAGCTGGTCACTATTCAAGGACCACTTCTTGCAGGCTCAGGATCAGTGCATCCCAACAGGTAGGAAATCAAGAAAGAGATCCAGGAGACCTGCATGGTTAACCAGGGATCTGCTGGGCAGACTCAGGTGGAAGGGCAGGGTATATAAATTGTGGAAGGAAGGGCTGGCCCCTTGGGTGGAGTGTAGGACTGCTGTCAGAGAATGTAGGGAGGCAATTAGAAAAGCTAAGGCCTCCTTGGAATTAAACCTTGCAAGGGAGGTCAAGGACAATAGAAAGGGCTTCTTCAAATACATTGCTGACAAAACTAACACTAGAGGCAATGTAGGCCCTCTGGGGAATGAGGTGGGTGCCCTGGAGACAGAGGACAGAAGGAAGGCAGAGTTACTGAATGCCTTCTTTGCCTCTGTCTATACTGCTGGAGACTGT